GATACCTTCACTTTGCTCTTGTTCAGCCATTGGGTGGCCTCTGGTGAGGTCACTCTTGCACATGTAAACATGAACAGGGCTGTAACTACAGACCATGGGGTCCCATAGCAAAAATGTGATGGGGCACACCGACGACCTCTCTTTACTGTGAGTAACGATGCCAAGATCTCAGAGACTGATCTTGTACGTCTGAAGTTGTCTCTACCCTGCAGTCTTTACAGGTGATTAGAGTTGTCATCAAGTGCAACCACCCCAACCCTTTATGATACAGTACTGTATTATCTTAACATGTTCACGGTTTAATTTCACTCAACAACCTAATGAGGCCCCCTTCCACTCCCAGGCCCCATAACACCCGCTCTCAGCAACCTGGAATGCTGTGTCCGCCCCCCTGCAGCCCCCTGCCAATGTGATGCCTCATTATAGGGATGGCCCTGGTCATGGTAAACCATTCAACTGCTATGGGGTCTAGAGCAGTCTGGCTAGGCTGTTATTTATGCAGGTACCGAAAGCATCTGGCAAATACATTTGGATAATATGAATGAATATATAGTTTGGGAGCCTGTATAGGACTGTAAAACAAAGCTATTATTATGCTATATTCTGAAGGCCCCATTGCCCACTCTCCTATTCCTTCATAAAGACATGATAAGAATGCATAATGGGAATTTACAACTGCGACCTTGGGTTTGTTTATTCCCACGGCCTCATGGTGGATCAAGCAGATGGGTGACGGAGCAACACACAACGGTAGTGAATTGCTGAACTAGTCAAATTGCTCAGCAAATCAAAATTGTTTTCCTCCCTAGTTTTCAAAGTAATAGAATAAGGAGCTTCCTGTCAATCTTGGCCAATGTGCCCTTTCGACCTATGCAACCCTACAAATAACAGCAAGCGCAGTCATTCTAGGAAGACGTAACATATTCCATTTTCTTTCCTGTGTCCTTGAGTGGATACTATAATATGCAGAGACATGTTTAATCCCTTCACGATATCGCTGCCCGAGGGTAATTTGGCGGCTTCAACAATACATATATATTACACAAATCACTTTTCATTTATCAAATAAAGATGATCTGTTACTATCTGTGGCAGCCATTTCTCTGCTGGTTATTAGTACAGCTGGTGGAACATTTCCATACATCAACTGTACCTGGATTTAATCTGGAAAAACAAAATAGCAATTTAAATATAACGTTTATTTTCCTAAAGATACAAGTATGAACCCAAAACGTTTGTGGCATATAGCTTAATTTTTTAAATTACATTAATTAGGGATGCTCCGATACCGGTATTTCCGTGTCGAATACCGATATTTTTTATTTTTTTTGTACTCGCCGAAATCTAATACCTAGTACCAGTAGTCCCATTTAGGAAGCCAGGCAGCGTGTAAAGACTCGCCACCCGGCTTCCCAATTAGCAGAGAAGCTGTACCCAAGCTTCTCGTCACTAGATGACGAGGGATCATGAAGTCGGCTTTCCGGCCAATCAGAAAGCTGAGCGCTGCGTCATTACACGGTGCCCGGCCTCCTGATTGGCCAGTTTCCTAACCAATCAGGAACCTGTGCAGCGAGTCATTACACGCTGCCTGGAAGCATGAAGCCGGCTTCCCGGCCAATCAGAAAGCCGGGCAGCGTGTGATGACGTGCTTTCTGATACCGGAAGTATTGGGCTAGGCATCGGAGCATTTGGGCGAGTACGAGTACCCAAATACTTGGCATCAGCACCAATACCGATACTAGTATCGGTATTGGTGCATTCCTAACATTAATCGTGATGGTAAACATGCATTATGCCATTTAAAAATAAATAAATAACTAAATAAATAATCCCAAATTTGTTGTTACTTATTTATAGGAGTATACTGTTTTTTATTTCAGTGTTTTTCTGCACAGTATTTTAAAGGTATTTTATTGCGATATCTTCAGAGACTTCAAATAACAATAAAATACACAAAAATAAGAAAGAAAAACAAATACATTCATGTGTATTGTTTATTTAAAATTTTAAGCTGACGTTTGTGTGGGTTTTTTTCAAACAATTTGAATAATAACAAAATGAACGCAAAAAAAACCCCACTCAGGATCCATTTAAAAGCTATTGCAGCCTTACAGTGGAACTTTATGTAAAAGAAGCAAAAGCTAGCAGGCAGTTTGTTTTTGTCTCTTCTGCAATAAAAGCTTCTTACTTCTATCATCACGAACTTGTTTAGAATGTGCACTTTCCCCATTACTGACTTATCATTTCTTATTTTCACTCTGTCGCTGTATGGAGACGGCCATCTTGGTAGAGGCAGGGATTTTGCTTCCTCATGTCAGAGCCTCCAGCAAGGAGAATAGTCAATGCACATTCACATACCAGGAAGTGCGCTGATACCTGGTGTATCCCCTTCCACCCTAAGTGGAGTGGCTCTTCAGTGTTGCTGGAAGTGTAATCAGTCTGGCTGATTTGTAGTCTGTGATCATTCGGTCATTACTAGGTGCTCTGCTATTGTCTGCACCTACCTGTAGTGGGGAGTGTCCCTGCCTCACCAGTCAATCACTAGGAGTTTCATGGCTAGTGGTGTATGCTGGGGAAGTGTATGAATACTCAGGGATCACCAGGTGCTTAGGGAAGTGTGTCCCCGGGCTTAGCCTAGGGGTAGGATTTACAAGGTTGGAGAACCTGACTAGGCCTCAAGCCTGCAGGAGGCCAGATGTGGACCCAGGTGGGGTCTGGACCTATCTGGAAAGGAGTACAAGAAGAGCCTATGACTACTGCAGGTGCCAGGAGGGCAAGGATGGCATGGATCTTAGAAACAAGTCTGGTGTCTCTCCCAGGGAAGATCTCAAGTATGTTCTATAGCCAGACATGGTTCTGTTACACAGTGTCATCCTCTGCTCAACTAAAGTATTAGTGCACTGTGAAAGCTGAAAGGCATTGATAAGTCTGGAGTCTATCTGTGGCTATAGATGTCTGTAGCCCTGTCCCCTCTCCCCCAGTTTGGTTGTTGTATAATAAAGCATCTGAAAAAGCACCTAAAGTGACTGGCGCCCAATTTACTGTTCACATCCCACAATCTCGCTAAGGATCCCACCCTGCGAGTGAAATGTCACCACACCCTGCCTCTGGGGTACATCACCTGCCTTTGGGGGTCAGGGGGCAGTACACTGGCAAGCAAGTGAAACGGGGGGAGGAGGAGGGAAGAAGGCATCTGTGTCTCTGATGGTACAGAGCTGTATGAAGGGAGTGGACAAGGGAAGAATCACTGCTTTGACTCATTGATTAGATGGGTATGTATTTTAGCTTAAGCTGTTGAGCTCTGTAAGCTACAGTTCTCTTTTGCCACAGAGAAAAAAGAGACTATAGCCCCACCTGTTGACTTAAGAAAGATAAGCAGTGCATTGTCCAAATGTTGTAAATCTATTTATGTAGTCTCAAAACAAGACCCGCTTTTACTGGACCATATATATATCTATAGATATCTATAGATATCTATAGATAAATATCTATAGATCTATAGATATCTATAGATCTATAGATATCTATATATTCAAGAATATAAAAAAACATATATACGCACACACATTCACTGTGAGGGTTATTCACAACGCTGCCGAAGGATCCAGCCGTAGCTTTGGCTGATACGTCGGCTAGCTTTGGTTACGGGAGGCCTTCGAAGGGCTGCTGTACGGGCTATTCACTATAGCCCGTACAGCTCCCGAAGTTTGCCCAGCGGCTCAGTCGAGCTGAAGGCATATGCTTCGGCTCAACTGAGCCGAGGTGAAAGCCGAAGCCGACCGATCGGCCGGCCATTGGCCAGCCGAAAGCCTGCTACTGTACTGACAGCTGGGTGGAGCCAGCCGTGATCCCGCGGCTGGCTCCGGCCAGTTGCACTGACAGTTCAGCGTCCCCTGGTTACCAGGTAACCAGGGGACGCTGGACTGTCATGAGAGCTCAGCGGAGGAGCCGGCGGCGATATCACTGCCGGCTTCTAGTGTGGCTTTTCTTTTGTCTGCAATAACTCTACCCTGATTATAGAAGAAAAACCTACAGAGAAATTCTTCTCATGGAAGAGTTAATCCTTGGGAGGCTCAAATAAGTATTTATGAAACGTATGGTGATGGTATGGAAACAAGCAAAAGGGATCACTCCTGATGCAGATTTGGGTTATGGTCTTGTTCTGTAATGGATGCTTCTTTTATTCCATCAATGTTGTATGTAGAGTTGATCCATGGAAAGAGATGATCTTTGGTGTGTCTGTGGTTGCTGAGTGGAAATTTGTATAAGCGGCTGTCACTTCTGCTGAGCGATCAGATGGTGCTGTAGTAGAGAACGGCTTAGCTGGCCAGGCTGAGCCGTGACAGCTATTTGAGTGAAGATCATGCTGTCGGGCACACAGGAGCGATGTGCCGCTATAAATAAAATACAGAGTTCGGGAGGAGGGGAGTACAAGCCGGGTGCAAAGAGACCATACACATATAGTAGTAAGGAAAGGAGGCTATGAGTTACAAGGCTATGCCTCTTTTTCAAGCCAGCAGGGTACCATGTATGCAGAAGAACTGGCGGGAGCGAGAGGGCTTTTTAAAAATGAGAGGTGGGAGGAGTAAACGGCCGTGTCGGCAGCTGATTGGAGGGAGCTCCAGATGTTGGATCGGCTGAGTCGAACTCCTTCTGCACTTTGGGTCGGCCGAACATGCTGAGTATGTTCGGCCGTCCCGAAGCCAGCCGATGTACGGCTAATTTCAGCCAATGTATGGCTGAAATCAACTGTACAAGCCTGAAGTGAATAGCCAAACAGCGTTCGGCTCACTTCACTTCGGGTCGGTTATTCACACGGATGCCTATGGCAGTTTTGTGAATAACCGTTTGTGTGTTTTATTTATCCTTTCTAAGTGCAGTAACCCAGAAATACCCACACCAACCAAAGCTAAAATCTGGTTATCTGGCCGCTCTATAGGTTTGGCTCCGCAGATAACCATTGTCCTTGGCACTATGTGTCCTCTGCGTATTTTACTTACTTTGGGTTTATCCTCTGCTGAAAAATTGGAAGGATTTCTGAACCTTGACTCCACTGTGATGTCAGCAGGCTGCACAATCTTTCTGTCAAGGAAAAAGAAGAAAAAGACAGTAGTTTAAGCATTACTATGAATCAGATATGTCATATAGATGAGTGAGTAAACCTCTTTTATAAGGCTAGGCTAAGACGAGCATCGCTTTTGGCAATTACATGACAAGATCATTGACATTTATAGGAGCCGTGGCAGGCTCAATAGCCAATTCTAACTTGTAATTTTATCTGACAATGAGCATCAACCTAATGGCAGGGTTGAAGAGGAAGCAGAAGGTTTACAGAAATAGAAGCCAAGTGTTTTTAAAGAATACCGTTGTGTGTGTGTGTGCTCCCTATACCCAGCTGATTGAATGTCTCCAACCCCAGAAGCATTAAAATCATGATCTCACTTTAGCATGTGCTTTTCTTCAAGTGTTTGGACCTATGTACAAGAACAAAGAAAAGAGGTGGAGGGAGCAGTCAATGTAATATAAAAGAATGTATCCTCAAAATCTATTCACATGGGTAGGATCCGGTGCTGAACCCAGAAAACCAGTGAGCTACCATAAGAAATATACACATTTAAATGACCCCAGAGCTGCTTTTAAGCCAATGGGCACATTTTCTGGCTGGATTTCCATAGTGCTAAAACTGTGTTTTTGACACAGAGTTATTTATGCTTACATTAAATTATAATATATTTATTATTAAAAAACAGTGTGCCTTCCTCCTTCCATACATGACCAGCCTGCCACACAAGATACTGTATGTCAACTGGTTTCCCCATGAAAAGGGGGCAATGAGCCTGCAGCCCCTGCACTGGTACTGATGCACTGAGCAGGGATCCCCATTAACCAAGGTACTGCTCTCCAAACTGATGGGCAATGGGCTCTACAGCATCCAAGTGCCCAGGAGGTGTTGACAGGAAGTGGGGGGTTGTGTCCTCTCCCTGATAAACTGGATTAAATGGTTCAACAATTTCACCATGTGGGCACATGTGAACTGCATTCGAAGCTCCCGATACATATATTACTAAAGCTGAGGCTCCCAGACCGGAATGGCATTTGGGAGCTCCGAATGCAGTTCGGAAATTCAGATGCCGAATGTCATTCGGGACTAGGAGATTCAGCTTTGGTATTAATATCTGTAGATGGTTTTCTGTGGTATTCGCAACGAATATTCCTAAACTCATCCGAAACTAACAAAAATTCTGATTTCGTTTGAACCTGAAACCCGAACTGAATTAAATTCCGGATCTGAATCCTGAATCCCGAAATAATGAAATAACCGAAACAAAACTAATTTTTCCACAGCTTACATGTCTATTCTTCACTCGGCCGCCTTTGGCAGCTTAGTGAATAACCTTCTTAATCTTCTGTGCTGTTACCTGCAATTTTTTACAGTGGTGACAGGGTCTCTTTAAGCGAGAAAGGCAGTGACACGGAGCTGGCCAGCACCCAGCTGCAGACAGCAATAAGAAATGGGTCACTGGTGGATAGTTAATCTTAAAGGAGAACTATGGGGTCAGGGCTTTTCCCCATAGTTCTCCTAAGGGGAACGGGAGGACACAAACTAGCGTCCTCCCGTCACCCTAGGCTCAGTATACTGTGAGCTGTAGCTCGCGGTATACTGAGACGCCGCAGCCTGAACGGATCCCTTCAATTATGTCAGGATCCACCCAGCTGCGTGAGTGACAGCTGGCTCTGCCTATCTAGAGGCAGAGCCAGCTGTACCCGCCCCGTCCATTCCACCAATCAGCGCTGGAGTATCGGACAGGGGAGGGGGGATTCCAGTCACTCCCCTGTCACGGCTCTCTGCAGGGATAGATCGAGAAGTGAGCGAACGCCGGTATGTGTTCACTTCCCGATCTACTGAGCCGACCTGTGACATTTTCATTGTCACAGGTCGGCTCAGATTATGAGGCTGAGTGAAAATCACTCACCTCATAATTCTCCTTTAACTTCCATTACAGTTGTATTAAGTTAATATATACACTATTATGTGACTGCTCCGGCATGTTGGCATCACTCAATAAGAAAATGGTGAGAGCAGAAGTCTAACTTTTCAGCGGAACGTTAGGTAGGAAATATGATTTTTGTTTTTCCTTTGACATTTTCTTATACTCATGTAAATACAATGTATAATGTAAGGTATGGAATGGAATGGATTTCTCAAGTCACTCGCTCTGGAAATACCATTTTTTTCCCCTTGAGTTTATTGTTCACCGTATCCAGCCTGGAAAACTGGATGTGTCATTGTTATGTAACCTCATTAGGTGGAGAAGATAAATATTTTAATCAGGACGGTGCAGCTGCCACCGCTACGACCAGCCAAGCCGTAGGAGTGTATAGACCATATTGGTGTGGAAATTGGATAGTTCCTTCCCTCGCTCTGCTATCTTCCCCAAACTCTGCCGCTACACAATGTTTATTTTTTTTAAATGAAACACAATAATTGATTCTGAGACCATGAAAAAATATGAGGACCAAATTCTTATGTCTAGCAATTCATGTATTGTACGGATTTATTTATGCCTAAAAGTACACCCAGGGGTACATCATGGGGGGAAGGGTCTGCTGGTGGTGCATGGTACCTCTAGCTCTGGCTCTGTCCAGCATCCCGCGGTGCTCCCTGACATCACTGGTTGCTAGGAGCTGGGAGGAACTCCAACCAGAGCATCCCGCTCAGCTCCTGCCGAGCAGTGATGTCAATGAGCTGGGCAGAATTCCGGCCAGAGCTTCACAGGTTGCTAAGACCTCTTAGCAACCTGGGACACTGTGGCCGGAAAGGGGGCGGCGGGAACATCTGTTGCTCCCCGCCATGTGACCCAATGAGATGCCGCCAAGGGCAACCGTGCCTCAAGCTGCCTCATTATAGGGGTGGTTCTAGGTACCCCCCTAAAGAGCCAATAGTCACTGATATGTCTAATGGTAACAGCACACAATTCACTCCAATAGTTTGGCTAATTTTTCATTTTTTTGATTGACTATTTTCCCTATTTAAAAATCCAAGTATGGATGGAACTTTTTCTGTTGACTTTTCATATTTGTTTTCGGGGTGAATCAGCTATAAGAAGTCAGGCAAGTTGAAAATATCCAACCATTTCCATTTAAAGCCCAATTCAACTTTCAGTTGGGACACATGGGGTGGGGTGGCAGGTGTGCCTGTCACCCCTTTTTCCAGCCAGAGCATCCCAGGTTGCTAAGAGCTCTGTGGCGCTCCACCTGTGACACTCTGACAGGCATCCCACCCAGGGCCGGATTTCCCACAAGGCCAACCAAGGCCCGGCCTCTGGGCACTCGGGGCAGCAGGGAGTAGAGGGGCAGCAGAGGTGTGGAATTCCTATCTCCCGATGCCCGGGCGGGTAGTTGTTTTCTACATTTAGCACCGCGTTGGGCAAGCAGAGCTAAATGTACAGCAGGGAAGCCGCCGCTTGTTTCCTGTGTTATCTCAAGAAATCTAATTAGCCCTCCCAGTTGTTTTCTTAGAACTACAGACCAATTAGTGGCTGTGTTGTGGAGATGAGAGATTGTAAGCCCTCAGGGGCAGGGCCCTCCTTACCATCTTGTCTTGAATTGTATTGTAATGTTAGGGAAAGGAAAGCAAAATAAGAAAAGTGGCCTCATGGGATTGTTGCCCCTATCACCCATGTGTTTTTTAAAACTATTTATATTCAAATAGAGGTCTGTGGTCACTGTTAAGTACATGTCTCTCTGGTACTGCTTTGCTGGTTCTTTCTGCTTTGTCTTTGTCAGGTTACAAGCTGCCTGCTGTTGCTAGGAAGATTTACCTCAGTTGCTGGACAGACCTTCAGTCAGCTGAGCACAGGATTGGTGACAGGTTTTTGGAGGGAAAACAGCTGAACAATGAGTGTAACCTTTCCCCCTTTATAGTCACTCCTGTCAGTGGACAGTGTCAGCATTTACCTCAGGACTGCCAGCTGGATTCACCTCTGGATTAGCTTCAGAATTCCTTTTGGATCTGTAGATCATTTAACCTGGTACACACTTCCAGTACACTGCAGTAATAGAGTTAAAATTATCCCCTACTAACATGAATAGGTTAAATGATCCATAATACAACTACATGTTATGTACTATGGACCATGATTTAACCTATTCATGTTAGCAGGGGAGAATTGTAACTCGATTGGTGTAGTGTAGTGGAGGTGTGTGCTGTATATATGTACTACATATACGGTACACACTGCAGCAAAAGATTTACAATTTTTCTCGTTGCATAGTGTGGGGGTGTTAGACTCGGTGAGTGGCAACGCATGCGCGGAAGGTCCTTATGTGAAGCTGACCTACTGGCAGTACCTGGATGCGCCGTCAGAGGTACGCGCGGTCGATGAGTTCTCACTGTCGATAGAACAGGACCAGCCCTGATAGAGAGCTCCTCCCACCGGACCAGGGCCGACTCGCCGCTGCTCTCCCAGTAAGTAAAAAAAAAAAAAAATCATAGCGCAAGCTTCGGCGCTATGTATCGGGGGCATTTTGACAAGTACTTGTTAAAATGCCCTGTATCGGGCCTGATTCCGATGCTAGCATCGGTATCGGGACATCCCTAGTTAACAGAGGTTACGTTTGGTAATACAGGTTAAAGTCTATTTATTGGTTAAATTGATTAAAACCTAATAAAGGGGCCGCCGCCTATAGGTATTCCACATTCATTGTTGTGTTTTTACTTTATTATTTAGGTGTTATGTTATGATGGGTGTCAATTGGGAGTACAATCCTTATATTGTAAAGTGCTGCGCAAACTGTTGGCGCAATATAAAATCCTGTATAAAGACAGACACGGAGAGACTAAGTGGAGGGGCTACATGACTGGGGGGAGGAATAGTCCCGGGAGAAAGGGTTAAAAAATAAAATGGGAATAGCTGCTCTTACCTGATTGGACGTGGGAGTCCAATGGGGGCTGAGGGACGTCCTCTTTCTGGAAATCAACGAAGGAAGCAGGTTGTCCGACCCTCCCTCCCTGAATTTGGTGGTTATGGGGGTTTCTTTTGTCACAGTAGCTTGGCGGGTTAGGGGGTCTTTGGGGGATC